TTTAATTATAATGCTTAGCATACCTACTATTAAGTATTATCTTAAAGACTATAATCTAGCACTCAGGGCATGGTAATTTGGAAATGTTCTTTTCATCAAATATACCAATAATTACTACCTTTAAGTATTTCCTTAATGTGATTGTCTTCATGCTCTTAATTAACACATAGAAAACCACATTTAGAAATTGAAAGTATACAGTAATTTAATATAGAAAATACTATTAAACTTATTACATAATTATATTATTGTATCTCCTTTGGAAATTGTGAAGACACTTCACAGGTTAAGGAATGGGAAGCAGCTATGTTTATTTATCAAATCAATGTTTTGATGTAACTATTTTTAAGTAATTTTAAAAGATAAATGATTTGTCTAAACTGGATTTTCTTTTTATTACTCTTGACTGAAAAGGAGGATATATGATTTCATAATAGAATACTACTTTATGGTAGCATAAAACGCCTTTAATTCCAGCACTTGCCGACCAAAGAGTTTGAGGACTGTCTGGGCTACATAATAAGTTCAAGGCAAGTCTGAACTACATGGTGAGCCTGTCTCAAAAAACAAGCAAGAAAATAAAGAATACTATTTATAAAATAATTGAAAATAATACCTAACAACATAAATAAGAACAAAGCAAACACGAGCCCGAGATTTGAATTCTAGATTATCTTGAAATTCCACAATCTCACAAATTGAAAATTTTTATCTTGAAATAGTTTAAAAATCAGTTTAAAAATTATTCAAAAGAAGGGCTGGAGATTTGGTTTAGTGGCACAGTGCCTCTCTGGCAAGGATGAGGTGCTGAGTTATATTCCCAGTACTATATATATATATATATATATATATATATATATATATATATATATGATGCTAGGGATTTCAGTATTGAGTTACCTATATTCTGAAGTGTAATAAGATTATTTGTCCTATATAAGTGCTAGAATTCTATGTAGTTTATAACATCACATCTTTATATTTAAATAAAGAAATATAAAATTAAGACTTCAAATAGGTTAAATTCAAATAGGTTCAAATAGTTTAAACATAAATTTTATGTTTTATTACTGCATCTTTATATCATATACCAATTACACGCCTGCTGGAGGAGCTGGTACAGTTGCATAACACATTTCAATTCTTTTCTTCATCTCTATTCCCTCTTCTCTCTTCCTCTTTACTCTCTGTCTTGATCTCCTTCCTATTTGAACAAAATGTATCTTGCTACTTCCTGTTTCCTACCTTTTATTTTGTTCTTTATTTTTATTTTGGACTTCTCATATATGATAAGCCATGTGGTATTATATTATCTCAGGATAACATAGGCACAAGAACAAATAAACAGATCACTAGGCACCCATGCAAGTCCCATATATACCTTCTCTTTTGTTCTAGAAGTTATTAATTTCTTAAGCTTAAAGGTATGTTTCTATATATGTTAATGCTAAAATTCACAAAGATTACGTATGTGCAAAAATTCTTGAATACTCTGTCAAACTACTCCCCATCACTATACAACCAATTGCTGATAACCTAGAAAACTAAATTAATCTTATCATTAGTACTAACAAAATATATTTAAGAAAATGATAAAATCAATTAACCTTTTATGAAAATTCAAAGCCAAAATGCCAGAAATAACTTTCAGTTACCATTCACTCACTCCATGAAGTTTAGTAAGCACCCGCACTCTGTGATCATAGAAGCTCGGTTACACTCTGACCAGAAGAAAAGGGGCATTGACAAAGAAGTTACTTGTGCATTCCTTTAAGGTATGGATGTAAATTCTACTTTTTGTTTATAAAGTTTTAAATTAAATTACTAAGTTTCTCTTCCTGTGTGTATATTCTCCAAATATAAAGCATAACTGTAAAACTCACCATATGGTTAATGTTGTTTTGTTTTTAGTACTGGGAATCAAACTCAGGACATTGTGTTTGCCAGGCAGGCACTTATGTCATTGAGCTATATTTCCAGCCCTGTTAATATTGTTTTTAAACTTTGCATACAATTTTTGTATTTGACAAAGGAGAGTCAAATTCAAATGGATCGTAATACCTAGATGTATAACATCTACCTGTCCCAGAAAAACTGTATATAGTTTATAGGAAACAATAGTTTTTAGGACACAGAAGTAATTTTTATTGGTACTACCAAACATCAAATGATAGACACTTCTCCATGTGAACTATGATAAATGTTGCAGGTTTACAACATGTTTTCCAGGAGCTTTCTTAAATTCTTAATAACATATCATTGTGATTCAAGATAATTTATTTTCTACATGCTTTATATGTGTTTAATTTTTCTTAGATATTTTAAACATTAATAAGGGTGATTTGCAAACAACTCTGATGTATAATTTTTAGGTCAAAATTGAAATAAAATACAAATTGTGGAGAAATTTTTTGCATGGCTTGGAGTCTTATTCTGAAAGCAAATGCAAGACTCCTAGAATGACTCCACATTTTATAAAGTAATATAACTTTCATGGTGATTTTTCTTAAAACTCCATTTCCCAAATTTGAGAAAAAAGGCTCTGAACTTCTGTATTTTAGGGGAAACCACAGTTTATAGAAAGTTTAATTTTCTATATTATTTCATGTACCACACCAATGAACTGTAGTTTCTTATGAAGAGCTATTAAAAATTTGAAGTTAGGAACCCCTCTGAAAAAAAGCTGGGCATAGACTATAAGGACTAATTACATGTATGCTTTGAATCACAATTTACATAATCACAGAAGATAATTATGTAATTTTTTTTGCCTGGTGTATTATGGTTGTTTGTTTGTTTTGGTACCAGGGACTGAACTCATGACTTTGTGCTTGTCAGGCAGGTGCTTATGTGACTGACCTAAATCCCAAGTTTAGTAATTTGTTATTTAAAACAAAACAACAAAAAAATACCAGTTAGAATATTTGAACTGATTTCTTAGTAATTATGTTAATTTGTTACTTATTGGAATAGCAAGTCTGCCTTCATTTTAAACAGTTATCACTATCATGGCCCAAAATTGAGCTTATGCATCTTTCACTTAACCATATCCTCAGTGGCAGTACAAATCAATTATTGAAATTTGATATACATAGTCAACCATGACTCAAATTACATTGCCAAACCCCATTGCCCTTTATTATTCGATTATTATCTTCCTTTCGAGGTATTATAAGGTGCTAACTAAAATGACCCACGTTTTTTATCTCAAATACTGTCTCAATTTTACTTTGTGAATGAGAATCAGAGTATAGTTTGTATTCATTAAGGATACTATGTGTCATAATTTTTCTGCATGTCTCCAAAAATTATAACCATCAAAATCTGGATTACATTCCCCCAAGAATGAAAGTAAACTTTTTCCATTACTACATATTTAAATCCTTATTTGCTTGTTTGCCTATCTACCTATCAACCTACCTATGGAAACAACGTCTCACTACATGCAGTTCAGGTTGGCCCTGGATTCAGTATGTAGCCCAACCTGGCCTCAAACTCTCAGGAATCCTATCTCAGCTTTCCAAGTGCTAAAAATATAGGCATGGGCAAGTATGCTCAGCTTAACTGCTTTTGAATAATTCAACGTGTGCTGCTGTCAGATGATCTGAGGTGAAGTATGCTGGATGTTTCATAACAAAGCGAGACCATTTAAAAATACAGATTTTATAATAGATTATTTAAATGCAAAAGGAGTTAAAAGACAATTAAGGCATGTTATGTACATAAATCAAACCCTACAATTAATGTAATTAATATGTGCTGCAAACATGTACTAACAAAAACATTAACAAAGTAAAATCAAAAAGTGATAATGTAGTTCCTAGGGACATTGCATGACAACTATAAAAATATTTTTAGATTATATAAATTTATTCAACATGCACATGCTTTTAAACTCACCACTGAAAATTACCAAGCAACATGATCTAAACAATGATCTATTAATATTTTTCATTGTCTATGTATTCATTTACTTTTCTCTTGCTTCTCAGCTGACGTGTTTATTTCTATATTTAACTAAAAACAGCCATGGCCTCATTAGAAGAAGAAAATGAGTTGATTTCCTATGAAGATCTTAGAACACTTTAATGCCAACATAACAATTAAGGACAAAAGTAATTGATATACAGAATTTATAAAGCAGAACACAAGCAGATTTCTGAAAAAGCTGACATAAAATGATACCTTTATACATTCACTTTTAGAATATTTGTGCAAACAGATTTTATAAAATAAAAAGTATCTTGTCTCAAAATGCACTATTTTTTACTTCATAAAGATGCTTTTATCTTGAAATGAATATAGTAATATAGAAATGAAAATATGAAAAATTTGTTCACATTTCATGTTAATAATATGTTGCACTGATAGCTTTTGGAATCACTCAATTTAGCAAGGATAAATTTGAAATCACTCTTGTAAAAGAAAAAAAATATTATGCTACCTTTTTGCTCTATCTCACTTAAAGAAAAAGGTCAGTTAAAAATAAAGGTTGTCCCAGAGACATATTCTGTTTTACTTAGAAAAAACATAAAAAAGAATACAGAACATGGGTGGTACATATACTTTTAGGAAACAGGTATTTGTTTGGAGCCTTCGATACAGCCTTATTTTCTTTGGAATAATATATTTAAAAAATTTTTAAAACAAATTATAATTACTTTTACATATATTATGATTGCTTTCATTACCAATTATTTATACAGACCTTGTTTTCATAATTTATTTGAATAAAGACTAGCAAGATTTATATTAATTCTAATTTCTCTGCAACAGACTAATAAACTATTCTACCACATCCCATTTTTTGACAATGAATTCAAAATTTCCCCTAATAATTTGCTTAGTGTTAAGAAAAAATAGTAAAAAATATACAAACTGTCTTTAATTTAGATTTGCATTCAAGAAGTACTTGTCTGATATAATTCATCTGATAAATATGAACCTATGTGTTTATCAAATCCTTAAGAAGATTATCTAAATCAACTCTGTGTAATTACCATTCACCATCTGTTCCACCAGGGCCTGAGCTGTTCTGCTGGCATCTTGCAGTTTTCTGGATTTCTCCGCTTTTTCTCGCTCTATGGCCTGCAGCATGATAGCAAAGTGAGTATTTCAATACAAGTATTGTGAAAGTCCATAACAATTATAATTTCAGCTTGCCTTTTCCAATCTTAAGATATTTCTGTGTGTCATTTTAGCAAGTGTGTCTAAAGACATTTTTCTCACTCATTGCACCATAAATATCAAAAATGGCAATAAAAGCACAATTCTTTTTTTCAATTTCTATTTTTTAACAGTATGGTTTTAATTCTTAAATTATTTCACATAGTAGTTTTGTATGCATTTCATTGTAATACTGCTAAAAACAAGGAAAAATATAACAATGAAATATATAATGTCAGATAATTTTGATGGAATTCACCATTAAATATGTAGTACTGAATTTTCTCCTGAAAATACAAGTATATTCAGTGTTAAAACCAATTTGAGACTCAAGTAATGCATAAAGTAGAAAAAGTACACCCACATGAATAATTTAGCAGAAAATCACAGATATTTATATATGAGACTGTAGGATGATTTTTTTTTTTTTTTTTTTTTGCTTCAACATAATCAGAGTCCCGTTTCCAAGGAAAATTAGGTTTGGTTTCAATATACTTTATAAGCTCCTTTGTACATTCCTCCTCTTTAGAACTAACTTTTGAACAACAAATGCCAAATTATTTAAATTAAAAAACACTAGTATTCTATATTTCAAATTTTAGTTAACCATATCTCTACAGAAACATAATTTTAAATGACTACATTAATGTACCAATAACTTGTCTCAAAAATATACATTAATATAGTGCTACTGTATTACTGTGGTACTATAGTTCTACCGTACTTAGTGTACTACAGTGAACTTAGTACTACAGTACTACAGTACTTAGTGTGCTACAGTGTACTTAGTACTACAGTACTATCACAGTACTATAATAATACTATATTTTCTATACATTACTATAGTAATAACTGTTAACTGTCTATAATAATATATGTTTTATATCTTAAGACAATTACAGAAAAAGAATATTCTAATGCAATTTGTGTATAGTAAGGGCAGTACAATTATTGTACAACAATAAAATGATTTCATTTCAGTTTGAGGGGTTAGAAGGTTATTCTCCACCATAACATTCTTCAAAACTTTCAGGCCTCCAAGGCATCCTACTGAGTACACGTAGGAAGGAGCATAAAAGAGTTGGGCACATGCTGCTGAAAATGTATGTGACTATGGAAATGTCCAGGATGTTTTTGGTGTTCAGTATGATGGCCAAAAGCATAGCCACTAAGACATCAAAATAATTGCATGGTCACTCACAATGGACACTGACAATCTTTAGGCCAATTATCAACACCCTGTGCATGTGGATACTAAGCACCTGAAAGGTGGCCATTATGATAGAAGAAATGAAATTAATTTTATTTCACTGAATTAAGTTAAATCCTCAATTGATGAATGATGATTATAATTGTGTACTGCAGATAATGTGTTTTCCTTTGACAAGAAATGAAGATATAAATGCAAATATAGGAAATACAACAATGCTCAGACAAATATGTAATAACCTACACTATTTCCCAAGTAAATCATGTAATATCCAAAATACTAACTAAAATTTAGGATAAGTGAAGAGTGAAATATAATACTAAAATGTAATACTCTCATTTTATTTTTTGTAAAATATCTACAGCCTCACTGCAAAATATGCATCATTTTATTATACAAGGTGTGTAGAAGATAAAAAACAAATTTTGTCTCATCAATCAAAAACTTCTCAAGGTAAGAAATGTATTTTAAATTCTGTATGAAAATTTAACATGCAGAGATTGCATTGTTCCACGATTACATGCTCCCAGGAACTCACTCCAGGGGTAGCAAGTGAAAATTTTTGATCATCTAGAAATTCAGTTTCACACAGACAGAACTTAAACGTTTTTACAAATATGGAGACAAATATGGAAGATTTCTTTCCGGTTAAACTAAAAAATCCATGAAAATTAAGTGACCACAAAAAATGTCCAGGAAGATTATAGTCACAGCTCCAAAATTCCCATTTCCTCAGCTTGTTAACTGTTCAGTTCTAAATTCCCTTAGCAGCTTACTGGCATCCATTCTTTCCAGATCTTAAATTTGTTTCTTCCTTAAAAGATAAATGTATTAGAAAACACTCTCAATGTTTTAGATTATGAAAACCGGCATATTTTAATTAAATATATATTTACAACCATCAAGAGAGACAGGAAGATTTGAAGTGCTCCTGCTTTGAATGATATGGGGAAAAAAGAAGAGAGAAAGAAAATAGTCCACAAGAAAAAAAAAGTAAAGTAAACTGCACATTAACAATAAAAAGAACCAACTGGTGTTGTTTGAGGTACAAGTTTTAGAGTTACATTTTCCGAGTGGTTTATATTTTTCTATGTTGTGTTTTTCCATTTTTTTGTGTGTGTTTTTCTTTTTTATCGGTACTGGGGATCGAACTCACGACTGTCTGCTTGCAAGGCAAGCCCTTATGCCGCTGAGCTAAATCCCCAGCCCGTTTTTCCATTTTTTAAACAAGAAATCATATGAGAAGAATCAGAAAACCCTGTTTTCCATACAATAGGTAAATAAATTAGCAGTGGCTTTCTGAATGTCATAGTCACAGTCTCTTCATTTTAAATCACAATGCAATTATCAATTAGTAATGCTAACTGAGAGACAAACTTAAATTTGAGTATCTCAGGAATAATATTTTTGAGTTTAAGAGTTATGATTTATTAACTATATTATTCCAGTTATTTGAATGTACTAACAACTACATCAGCCAGAGCAAAAATAAAACAACAGTTTATGCAGTAGTTACTATTATTCCCCCGACATTTAGAAAGAGGAAGAATGTAAGGCACAGAGAGTTTATTGAAAACTTAAAAATGACAAAATAACCAGATTACTTATACTGTCTATGAAATTATAGTATAAATATATGTCATGGTAATTATGAGCTAGAATGAATCTGCTTTATACAATCTCATTTTACATAAGAATACCAAGTAAGTGGAATGTGTTATTCGTGTGTGCCAATTCTCTACAGTGAATGTGGTCATTATGTACTGCCAACGTATACTAGTAAAAGTGAAAAAAAATGGAAAGACATTCCTTGTTCCTAGATAGGAAAAACAAACATGAAAATGCCCATTCTCTCAAAATTGTTAAACAGATTTAATGCAATTCCAATCAAAATACCTCTGCAGATCTAGACAAATCATTCTTAAAATCCATCTATAACCACAAAAGACCTAGAATAGCAAGGAAAATTTTGGGCAACAATAGCAAGACAGGAAGCATCATAATCCTTGACTTGAAGCTACACTACAAAGCTACTGCTGATAAAATCAGCATGGTACTAGAATAAAAACAGATGTGAAGATTTATGAAATAGATCAGAAAATACAACTACAACTACAAACACACTCAGCCACCTTATCTTTGACAAAGGGGTCAAACACATTCACTGGAAGAAAAATAGTCTATTTAATAAGTAGTGCTGGAAAAACTGCCTCTCCATATGCTGAAAATTAAAACTAGAGCCATGCCTATCACCATGCACAAAAGTCAAAATAGATCAAAGATCTAAATATTAAAACAGAAACACTAAATCTGCTGGGAGATGAAGTCGATAGAAATATTAAAGACATAGGGATATGCAGAGAATTCATAAACAAAAATCAAACTGCACTGGAAATACTTCCCAGAATCAATAACTGGCATCTTGTTTTATTAAAAAGTTTTGGATGTCAAAAGCAATCTCCAAAAGAGTGAAAAGAAAAGCCACAAATTGGGAAAACATCTTAGCCAAATGTCTCTCAGATAAAGGACTTCTATCTGAAACTTATAAAGAATTTTTAAAAAATCAAAGCCATGAAATTAAGAGTTCCCAATCAAAAATGGGCTTCTGAGATCAATATTACAGCTCTTAGATAAAGAAATACAAATGGCAAATAAATACATGAAAAAATGTTCAGTATCACTGGCCATTTGAGAAAGGTAAATTAAAACCACAATAAGATTGCATCTCATTCCAGAAAGAACGGCCAGGATAAAGCAAACCACCAACAAATGCTGGAGAGGTTGTGGGGAAAAAGGAAATCTTCTGGGGGCTGGGGATTTAGCTCAGCGGCATAAGCACCTGCTTTGCAAGCAGGCAGTCGTGAGTTCGATCCCCGGTACTGGAAAAAAGGAAAAGGAAAAAAAAAAAGAAAAAGGAAATCTTCTGCACAGTTGTTGGGAGTGCAGACTGGTGCAACCACTTTGCAAATCACTCTGAAGGTTCCTGAAAAAGCTAGAATTGGAATTCCCATATTACTGAGCCATTCCACTTCTGGGCACATTACAAGAAGAATTGAAAACATCATATCACAGTGATATATGCGTACCCATGTTTATAGCAGCACAGTTTGTAATCAGCAGCTTTTGTAAACAACCTCAATGCCCATCAACTGAGGAATGGATAAAAAAGATGTGGTACTTTATACAATGGAGTACTACTCAGCTATGAAGAATGATCACATTGAGATTTTTTATAGGTAAATTGATGCAACTTAGTCCATATTCATAAGTGAAATAAATAAAACTCACATGTGTAAATATCATACAGTCTCCCTAGTGTAAGAAATGGTAAAAGTATGTAAGATACAAAATCCTCAATAAATACTGTGAAAAGGTAAGAGCAAAAAGTAACTCAGGGAAAAGGAGAAACAAAGGAAAGGGAAAGAAAAAATATATAAATTTGTATAAAGACACTTAAGATAGCTAAGATGAATCTGTTATGAATTCTATTGGTTCTTGGAACAAAACAGTTAACATGCATAATATTGGATCAATTTTACATGTTTGTGTCTGGTAATCTGAAGAATTCTTTTGAAGATTACTATGTAAAATAAGAACCTCTGTGATTCTCCTACCACTTTGTTTTGAAGGCCAATATTGTCATTGTTTTGGGCTCTTTGCTATTGTTATTTGTTTTTATTTATTTTTTCTTGTTTATCTAGTAATTTGTTTTGCTTTGTTTTGTTTTTCCCTCTAATGCAGAAAGGATATATGCACGTATAGAGGCTTACACATGACTAGAACTTCTCCCAAACAGGTTACAAGTATTAATTTTATTATTTCTGATGAAAAGAACAGCTATTTTGAAGAAAAAGAGACATTATGGTAGCTGCTGCTGATTTCCTATCATCATGCTGTGAAATCAACTAACACTTTTATTCTTTGTTTAGTGATTTTAGTCTATTTTTTATTATTTAATTTCAACATATATGAAGGTATGGGCAGAGATTTTGAAGAACAAGAGACATTACAGTAGGCATTGTTGATTTTCCTATTGTCTGGTTTTGAAGTGTCTGTAGTGCTTTTATTTTTCTCTTTTGATCAGTTTTATACTATTTTGTTTTGTATGAATTCATTGTGTGTGAAGATATAGACAACTATTTAGAAGAAAACGAGACATTGTGATAGCCTGTTGATCTCCTGTTGTCTTGTTTTGAAATCTGTGTCACTTACATTGTTTTTTTCTGATATGCTTTGTTCTGTTTTGTTTTACCTTCTTTGAAATAATTCAAAAGATAAATAAAAACAAAAATAGTTTAATATATATTCTAATTTGTATCATTTATAATTAGTATCCTTATATCATTCAAAAGAAAGTTTTGTACTAATATCTGTTTCTTGTTTGTAAAAGAACATCTTTCTTTGAAGATAACGACACACAACTCTTTTTTTTTGGTACCAGGGATCGAACTCACGACCTCATACTTCCAAGGTAGGCCCTTACATTGCTGAGTACACTGCTGAGCTAAGTCTCTGGCCCAACAATATACAACATATTAACTATTGTTATGTTTTTAACATTTTGTTATTAAATTTTCTTTTACTTTCTCACATAAAATAAACAATTTTCATTTTGCCAGGCCCAGTACATTTTATAGCAATCAATCCTGATAACTAGATCTACCTCTGTGAAGTCACCTTGTTTATAAAAACATGTCTTCCTTTGATATTACTTTGCTCTGATCACTTTCCTGAGGGAAACAGCACAGCTATGTGTATGTTTTTGTCTGTTTTTCTGTGTGTTTATTATACGTATGTCTGTGTATATATACATATGCACATAAAATAACTATTCAGATTTTAGTTTTAAAATAACTCATATATTGTAAAACACCATTTTAACATTACTTTATTAACATAGATTATTTATTCATTATATGTTTATGATGCTCTTAGTTTTAGCAGTTCTTTATCAGACTGTACAATACTTATTGTATACAACTTGAAGTAAAGAATATAGAGTCAAAAGGAAGTGTAAACATATAAAATAAAATATAGGCTCAAAAATTTCTTAGATATCATCGGGAAATTATGGATTCTAAGATGTATAACTTAATGTGTTGAACAGTGCAATTCTTTGCAATCATGTAATAATATAAACAAAAAAGTTATGAAAGTAAAATCATGCAAAGCAAAGTTCACAAAAAAAATCAAGCTGTCAGGGCTAAGGATTTAGCTCAGCGGCATAAGCACCTGCCTTGCAAGCAGGCAGTCATGAGTTTGATCCCCGGTACCGATAAAAAAGGAAAAAGAAAAAACAAAAAATCAAGCTGTCTAATTCTTTAAAATAGACGAAAAATCTTGTCTTCTCTTTCTTCCTTTTTCCATGATGGCATCTCTTTAAAGCATCCTCTTTTCATGATATCATCTCTTGTAATATGAAAGTAAATTCTAGATTCCCTATGGTCATACCCTGCTTTAGAAGCAATTAATTTTCTATTCATTTAGCATTCTATAATGAAGTTTTATACTTTGATGGAAAAGTAATTTATTCACTCAAATATTTATCCATGATTTATGTCCTTTATATTGGCAACGCAGCTTGTCTTAAAATTTTCCTTCAGATCTTAAAGAAATCACTGCACACAATCAAATATTTCTTGATATGTCCAGACCCTGTAATTTATTCCAGGATACCATCACCAAAACCTCTCAACTAAAGCAAACAAAAATAATCCAAACCAGTTGCTGATTTCTAGAAACTAACAACTGAATCAACATAATAATGGCTAGAATTCAGTTTGGATACTTAAACAGAAATCAGATCATTGTAGGCTTTATGAAAGTAGTAATCCTTTCAGCCAAAGGCCATAAGGAATATACTAACAGATGAACAAAGTCAGGTTGGTTTTCTTGATGCAACATGAGAGATAGATAGTACCTAATAAAAATTAAAAACTATGTTATAAATTGCTTATTATAACTAAAAGGATGTCAGAAATTGCTCATTATAACATTTGGGCTCCAGTTAAGCGCGGCAAAGGAAGCAGAGATCTGTTTTGCTTGGATGTTGTAAGATAGGCAAGGTAATTCTGTAATTCATCACCCTTTTTGTTATCTAAATCGCAAGAAGGATGTAGAGATGTTAAAGCTAGCACTGGTAAAGAGAAGGTAATATGATTTGTCACACTAGTAAAAAGATGGCTATTTATTTGAAGTAGGGCAGTCTGGGAAATTTTTTGTATATTGAGAAGTGATTGTCAAGTAGGTTTGTTACTATTTTTGTTCATGATGATGATAGAAATGTCTTGTAGAAGTTGACTTTCTCAGAAACTCCTCATGTGCAATGGGAGAACGCAATAGACCAAAGATAGTACCAGTGCTGCAAGGCCTAAGGGAAAGGTTAAACCAACTCCTGCATATCAGCAGTTGCTTCTTTTACTTTCTCAAATGGTGACAATGACATAACAGGGTCAAATTTAGCTTTTATTTTTATTTATTTATGATTTTTTTTGCCTTTTTAGACAGAGTTTTGCTATACAGTTCAGACTGGCCTTGAACTCATTTTGCAGCCCTAGCTGCACTTGTACTGATGGCAATCCTCCCGCCTCACCTGCCTGAGTGCTGGCATTACATGTTTGCGCTACCATGCCAAGAAAAAAAATTATCTTTTAATAAGTTCAGTTTGGCAGAAGTGATATAAAATCTTCTAAAGGAATACAACTTTAGTTACAGGGTCAACCATCTAGGGGACTATCATATTAAACAGTGCAAAGCCATGATATTAGCTTTAATTAGAACTGTAGTCACAGGAATGGAGTGAATTTTGATGGTTTACAGAGCTCTGAAGGGAAGAGGTAGAAAAATCTTGCTGACCTAGTTAGCTGGTTTCTAGTGTAGGCTGTTTAAAAGGAAACAGGAAGGAGGAACAACAGACTGGATCAGGAAGATATTGAGACTTATCGTATGTTTTCATGCAAACATTTGATTAAAATTATCTATTAGATTTTTTATCTTTTAAAGTTAATTTTTAAACTGATCCATAACAACCTAAGTGGGTGTACCGTAGATCAAACACATGATCTTGCACTTCCTGGGCAGGCACTTATACCACTGAGCTAAATCCTTAGCCCGAAGAACTTTATATGTTAACAAGGTGTCATATGCTGTTTTATTGCATAAATACATTGTATAATCAGGTTAAAAACACCTAATCCGATTAAAAATATCTAAGCAGATATACTGACTGAGATTTTGAATGGAAAGATTTAAGCTAAGATAAACATTGTAAGGCAATAATGAATAAATATTACTTGAATGGAATAGAATGAAGATATTCAAAAGGAAAAAAAGTAACAGAAGAATTATGGTGAATACTAAAATTAAAAGAAATGTGAATTGGAAAAAATAACAGAAATGTGAACAAAGTGATTACTAATAATACATCATAATCTAAGGGAGGAAAAGAATTTCACAGAGGACACAATAGTTTATATTGAGACAGTCGTACAGAAAAGCTAAGTGAAATAAAGTACCAAAATATTCACATGTGTCTTTCTACGAAGAGAATCTTTTCTCAAAGACGGAAAAACAGCATGCTTAAAGACTGACAGTAAAGGCTCAGAGGGGAGAGAAATGTTGAAGATATGGATATGCAGCCAAATAGGGGCAGGCTCCTAATTACATAAAAATGATAAAATGAGAACTCCCACAGAGACATTAGTCTTTACTAGCTAAAGCATAATGTCTTCCACCAAGACAGATGGAAAGAATTTTATAAAGACAAAGTGGACAACAAGGTTTATTGATGGCCACTATGTGTAAATTTTAAGGAAATCGATTTTATTTTTCTAGAGAGTAGTATCTTTGAAATTCCCTGAGAGCGAAGAAACCAATTTTAAAGGAGCAGAGGTATAAAAGAGTGATTAGTCATAGTGGTGCTCTTGAGAACAAATGTAGTTTTCAAGTATGAATAGAACAGTATATTGGGGAGAAAGATTCGTCTTGAAAGATTTTCCAAGTTCATAGTCAGAGACTGTCGGAAGGCACAAAGCACTGGAAGTGGGACAAGAAGGGAGCAAGAAAAACATAAAGATGAAGATTGTTATAAATGGAGGTGGCAAATGCAGATAACAGAGGTCAGAGAAGAGGCAAAGTTAACTGTCAATCTTGTGACATTATGAATGTTTCAATGAAATTCAATAAATATTGATGTGATATGGGTGTAAGAAAGCATTCAATTAGTAATCAAAATTTATGCTGAATTCTTTTAAAAATCTTATAGTAAAAGACAGAATGCCACTAATACCTCTCAAAATATCTTGCCTGGCTTCAAACATATTTATCCCATCATTCTTGCTGCTTTCTTAAGTAGTTCTTAAACCTATTTCAGAAGTATATTTATGAAGTTTGGTAAAAAAGATGAATACTGCTACTGAATGTCATTCAACGGAAATGTAATCTTGTTAAGATATTATAGTTTTTCCTCATTCATCTTATTCAGTGAATCTGGCACCATGCAACTTTTGTCTGTTTGCCAAAGTCAAAGCAATCATGAAAAGTAAACGGTTTGAACTGATTCTGAACATTGAGACAGCTATGATAGTTCACCTATAGACACCAGAAAGAGTCCAAGATCTACTGAACACAATAGCTTCATAAGAAACCTTTCAAGAGAACTTTGTACAGGTTGTTGATTTTCAAACACTTTATCCCATCAATTTGTGCTAGGAGGATACTATTGTGTTGTTTTGTTACTATTTTACATTGTCAGGTCATCAATTCAAGGGTCTGAATAATTAGAATCTCTTAATTCAGCTAAACTTCTGAACCATGTGAGATGCCCAAAATGAGACAGGGAACATCCAGAAGTTTGGTAAACCAAAGTTTGTTAGAATATGTCTTAAAACAATAATTCTGAGTATTTTAGATCCACACAAATCTCCTATCGAATTTGTTCAGAGGCAGATTTTGATTCACTGGGACTGAAGTTCTGTAATTCTAACAAGTTTCTATATGATATCAATATCTGTTTTCTGGGACCACATTTTCACTAGAAACTTCTAATAGAACTCTGCTTGTAAGTAAATGGATTTTGGCAATTATATGAATAAAACAAGTGGCCAAAATAGAAGAACAAAAGTATGCTTCAGTTTAAAAATTTCATACTTGAAAATATATGAAGCTGAAGTGACAATGGCCTGAAATCATATTCAAGTTATAAATAAGCAAAGGAATGAGTAAAAAAGAAGAGTTGGTAATACTCAGCTATTTTAATGGATGGCTAAAAACACATTAATACCACTCAGGTTCAAAAGATGGCCCTCCCATGCGTGTAAAGCAACTTACATAAACTGACAGGTGAAGAAGTTGAGAAAATTAATATACACCTGAATTTCATATCAATCACCATTAGTATGTATTTTTCTCAAGGATTTTTAATACATAAACACTATATTTAGCCTGAAGGAAATGTCTTGGTAAATCAGTCCATGTCCTATTTTAGTAGGCAATTAAAAAATGTTATTTCAGAAAATGAGAGTTCAGGTTAATAAAGGTGACTCACAAGGCATTGGAAAAGAACTTATACAGTATTGTATATGTTTTTTTAGTACTTTGAGTCCGTCATGCTGATGGTATTGATTAAATGCAAATTGCTTCCAGGTGACCATATGATATCAGGAACCAGGAATTTATATTCCTGGTACTCAGTTTTTCTGTTCAATCACAGCGGTTTAAATATAGATAAGGATAACAAACAGATATCTATATTAATCGGATGGCTGAGAATTTTAGTTAACTGAAAAAGGCATAATGTGATTAATACTTTTAGTGGTTGAGAATTTTGAAATTTAGATACTATCTTTTCCAGATAATTTTCTAATATAATTCCTCTCAAAAATTAAAGATATACTTTCAATATGTATATATTGAAAATCATTCTGGATCTATTTTTGTTATGCTTCAGTTTAATTTTAAAACCAAAATATTATACAAATAATCATATATACCATTTATTAAAACTAGAGCAGTCTATTATGATGTGAATATAACATAATATAAAGCTAATTAGACATTTTAAACAATTCTCCAATTTGTAAATATAAGTAATAACTTTAAGAAATGCTGATAAATTACCTTCCTCCTCAAGCAACCTAAAAAATAGATTTTCATTTCCAGAATACAATTTTGGTTTTTGTTCTCTAATCTCTCTAACCCCACAGCAAACATGAGCTTATTTCAGAGGCAATGCTATTATTTGTAACAACATAATAGATTTTGTAGTTTATGAATTGAATGCTAGAAAGATAAAACAGAGCTTATACATACATACATACATACACTTATACTTGAAACTCTTGGAACTAAAATTTGACATTCCTGTTTATTTTAGAATTCTATGTCTTGTATTTACACTGCCTTGTAGATATCATCTTATAAACTGCTATCCATTACATAAAAAAGTTTTAAAATTGAAGTTGAAAATTCAAAGCCCTGATGGTTCCCCCGAAGATGAATCAGCTTTTATTAAATCAGTAAAAGTTTCTATTGTGAAGGTTAAGCTATAATATCTTAAAAGTACATAAAAACAGTAAAATACCTATTAGTACAAGTAATGACTGAGAGAAAATTGACATATTTTAGTTAACATAATATAATATATAAATATCAGGGAAATGTGAAGCTTAAAATTTATAGCAAGTATCAATGTCTATAAAATTAATCTTTTGATGATTCATAAGTCATGTCTGCAGTGTTTTCTGTAAGGTTTACTCAATTGTTCTATGCTGTTCTATTTTATTCCACTTTGGTCTGCTCTATTCTGCAAACATTCTAAGACTTAAATTGCCTTTAGGTATCTGAATAATGTAAATGAGAATACAGTATGAGCTCAAATTTTAAAAATGTTAATTTACAGCTGAAGAAAACAAAAATAATGAGAATTTTTGAAAACCTATTCCTGGTCACGGAACATCAGGAAATATTTTTATGTGCTAAAGTTTGATTTTTTTTTATATCTAAAATGTAGTTAAATGTAGTAGAGAGCACATCACATTGCTTTAATCCTATCACCTTTAGTAGAATCAGAGGCAAAAAAATGGTGCTTAGATGCAGCACACACAACAAGAAAAGCAAAATGCATCAACCTTAATACAGAACCTACATTGACTTTTTCTTTAAGGTCTGAGAAGTTGCCTTCTTTTCGATAGATTGCAAATTCAGGACTCTGCAACACAGCTTCTGAACGCGTAATCCAACTGTGAAGTTCAGTTATATCGACATCCAACCTAAGACAGCAAAGAATAAAGGTCATTATTTCTTGATTATCTCTTTCTTCTATAAGGAAAGAGAAGCAATTTGTGCACATTTATCATTTTCCTCCTAATCTGAGACTACTGCCTGATGACTCTATTACTGTTAATAGCACCACTATTTCCCTCGTTAGGTAGGCTCAAAATTCGGAATTGGCTTTGATCATGGCAGCCATTTTATTGACCTCAATACAGCAATTACCTGTATAGTATCTCCTGTAAGCTATTACCCTGCTTCTGCTTGAATGTTTGTACTATCTGAAAACCATTACTTCTCAAGAAGATTCTATTTCTTTTCAAAATGTATTTACCAGAAACTGAAAGTTCTCTTTGGTTACCACCGTTGAATCATAATTCTGATACACATGTCTTCATGAAGTTTCTGCCTTTTATGGTAAACAGACTATTAATAAAAGGAATCCACATAACATCTTGATAAGTGCTTTCATAGTGTGTTTTGTGCTGTTATAATACCTACTCTGAGAAGGCAACTATAGCATAAGAAATCCAATGACCTTCAAGTGGCTGTGTTTTAAGGGAGCTTGAGTTGTCCATGTGGAAGGGCAATATGGAGGAGCATGAAACAGCAATTTTTTGTATAAAGTTTTCTTTAACCTTCTAACTCATGACAACAACAGCTGAATATAGTTAAATGAGTGTTCCACTTGACACCACACAGAGCCAGGGAATGTGAAAAGGTGCTACCCCTTTGCAGTGTTATGAGAAATGATAGGCAACTGCTATTTTAAGTACCAAATTTTTTGCATGGGTTAATATGCTGCTACAAATATCAGATCACATACCAGTTACTTTAAAACATTTTTTCAGTGCTTTTTGCAGAGGTCTTTGGAGCTATTGGAAATCAACTACTGACTCTGATCACTTTATTTAGGGATGGAAGAGCTAAGATAGGAGAACATGTTAAGATGCAATGAAAGGATGAAAGGATAAAGAAAATGCGTAAGACAGACACCCACACAAAATAGGATATTATTAGATTTATTTAAAAAAGAGATTCTGTCAATTGCAACAATTGGATGAAACTGGAGGACATTATACTGCATAGATAAGCCAGACATAGAAAATTTAATAATGCATGATCTCACATGTATGATCTGAATTAGTCTAAATCATACAGTCAGAGAATAGAATGGTAGTTACCAAAATGTGACAAAAAAGTGGGTAATTTGGAAGATGCTGATGAAAGGGTATAAAATTTCAATGAGGAGGAATAAGTTCAAGAGGTATATTTTAAAACACAGTATCTAGTTTTAATAATATACCACTGTATGTCTATGAAACTTGTTCAGGGAATAAGTTTTCTATGTTTTATTTTTATTAATACATGTTTTCAGTATAGGCTTTAATCATTCACACCACAAAAATGATGAATGAGTGACATAATAAATATGTTAATCAATTTCATTTAGCCATCCATTATGCATAGGAGTATCAAAAATAAATTTTGATATTTTATACTCTAAATATACACAATTTTAATTAAAAGTAATAGCACATTTGGAAATAAAATTTTAAAACTTAAATAGCATAGAGTTTAGAGGAGTCATTTCAGGTACAAGTCTGAACAGGAGTCCATAGTTTTTAAAGAATAGCTCCTGAATTTTAAAAGCATGTATAAAGGATCAATGAAAAGGGAATTTACAGATCCTCTATCTGAAAATTTATTATACAAATCAAATAAAATTGAACACATAAGCGAATGTTGCCAAAAATAAAGCCAGAGGTAGTTTTCAGGAAAAGAAAAATACAAAAATACAAGATACCAGGTAATGCATTTTTAATCACCATGCTGTTAACATCTCCATTAAAACTCTCAAATATTTTAAAGCGAGTATTTAAATCTATACAAGACATCTATTGGCCAGCCTACCTCACTTATAATTATTTTAGTAGACTTTCTACAATTTAACCCTATCTTAGATTTCTCAAAATTTTGCACCTAAAGGGAACATATCAGCAGTATACAGTACAATCAAGGAAGAATAGATGATTATCTTCTTAGTTTATAATAGTTTCAAAATAGTCAATTATTGGGCTGGGGATTTATCTCAGCGGCATAAGCACCTGCCTTGCAAGCAGGCAGTTGTGAGTTCGATCCCTGGTACTGATAAAAAAAAAATAGTCAATTATTTTAATCAATATTTTCATACTAATCATGAAATTTCAATTCACCTTACTATTAATTTGATCTCAAACTTCTTTGAATCTTTCACATAATCTATCACAAAGCTAGTTTTATCAAACTTACAAACTGATTTGTAAAACTCAAATTTCAAGGAATTAAAACATATGAGCCTGTTAGAATTTTTCACATTAATTGCATGTTATTATTTTAAAATTAGCATGACACAGAGCTTTGTAGAAAAAGAAACCTTTAAGAAATATACGAAAATTTTTATTCTTTCAAAATCCTATTACTGTGTATTACCAACCTCCTTGTTCATATAAGGAAACAGAAGCTCTTTCTATTTTTGTTTTCTTTTTTTTCTTTATTTATTTATTTATTTATTTATTTATTTATTTATTTATTTTTTGTCTTTTTCCTTTTTATCAGTACCAAGGAGCAGACTCACAACTGCCTGCTTGCAAGGCAGGCGCTTATGCCGCTGAGCTAAATCCCCAGCCCCTGCTCTTTCTATTTTGGGTGAGGAACTTCATTCATGTAGTTCACTGTTACGCCCTTCACCTCAAAGACAGCCTGATTCCTAGTAATAAGTATTTTCTGAGAAATTTAGGAAACTGTGAAATGAATTGTTCTAACTCCCTCCAAATGAATATAAATACTTGCTTCCAATTGTTCATGCACTGTTAATATTTATATGATTTCTATTTTATCATATGTGGTTGTTTTCTTTCCTATATTTGTTTTTCCATAAATCTAATCATCAAGTTTCTGATTTCTTCACATATAATGTTGATTTATAAGTAAGATTTTGTTGCATGAAATAAAACTCTCTCCTTTCTTAATTGATATTAATTCATGAAATCAATAGTTTTGACTATGGTCATTTAATTGCCTATTAAATTCGGAGTACCATATCATCTTCTAATCAAAGTTTATGCACATTTACTATCACTATGTCTTTAAAAAAGATTGCTTTCCTACGATCAAGCATAGGAGTTGCCATGTGTTTCTCATGAAAGCTTTCACTTGCCAGCACATGGAACTTATCAGGAAGGCTGAGTGGGTACTGCTCCAGAAGTATGAACCACCAAGAGGTTGGAGTTGGTGCATAAATATCCCAGACTTTTTGTGTTTCAACTGGAAAATCTTGACATATATTACACAAGGTATAATTATTTATTATAATTTCAAACCTATCCATGCATTTTTATACGGAAATGTAAGCATGTTTCACTGAGTTCTCCTTTTTAAATTCAACTCTCTCTCTCAACCCTCACAATCAGTCCCCTTTCCACGTACTTGTGTTGCACAAAGGCAAATGTTTTGGGACAGATGTCCAGTTTTCTGAACATTTACTTGCCTTTCACTCTTTAATCTTCTTATCACTAAGTATCAATAACAATATTTTTTAATTTTTATTTTATTGGTACATCTTAAATACATGAAGATAACATTCATAATGGAGAATTTGTACTCATACATGATGTATCTTGCTGCTTCTTTTTTCCCATTACCTTCCCCTCCCTTCAACTCCTGTTCCTATCCTGATTTATAAAAAGCTTTATTTCTGTTTTTCCCAAAAAGGAATAAAACTATTTTTGATAAAGTGAGTATGATACTGTATCCAATGGAAAGTTTCATTTTCTTGTCATCTAGTAAAATTAAATGTTGTTGACCATACTCTGAAATTCTCCTTCTTTGCCTCCATGATGTCACTCTAACCTACTTTGTCTTCTATTTCTGTAATTACTGGCAATTTTTCTTTGCAGCTCACCTCCTCCACCTTGTTATTATCAGAGTTCAAGACTCAAGCTCACCATCAATCATGTTATACCCCTTATATTAGTCTCCCTCACTAGTAATTTTATTAATGCTCATGACTTGACATGAAAACTATATATCAATTACTCTGCAATGAATATCTCAGATTCAGTCATTTATAAGGAGTTCCAGAGCTATGTCATCCACCTGGATGATCTTTCCATTTGCACACTGCAAAAATTTCTTTAACATTATCCCTCAAAATGAAATGTTTGATATGATCCCCTAAATTGATACTCTGCCAATATTCCAAAAAACTTTAAACATTGTCGCTACTGATCACTTTTGATGTCATCTCTGCCTGTGTCTGTCTCCTCTGAATATCCATGTTTAAAATTATCCCTTATCCTCAATGTGATAGTATTAAGAGATGTCTTTTGAGAAGTGATTAGTTCACGAGCAACAGATTCACAAATGCAACAAATTCTCTGAAAGGGGCCCCCAAAGGCTAGAGTTATTCTCTTCTACTATGTGAGGACACAGAAAGATGCCATCATTTATATATTCACCAGAAAGACTTCCCTCCTCAAACAACAAATATTTTCTCATCTGAATTTTGGACTTTCAAAATTCAGAGCAAGGAAAAAATTATATTGTCTGTGATGTTTATGTTATATGCCAATCTAAGATCCAGTAATGTATAGGCTATTGTTTATATTTTTATAGGTACCTCAATAGATTAAGATAATTTTTATTTCCATAGTTAATCAACTGAAAATCTAATCCATCAAAAAATCTTTATTATCAGAATGTCTGCTTCTCAGTCTACACAGAAAATATACTTATTTTTGTTGCCATTAAATATGACCACACAACCTGAAACAGTATCTTGGTTGATCCAAAACACTATTTTTCTGAATGGAAAACTGTTCAGAAATTATCCAATCTATTAAAGACACTACTCACCAAATTATTATTTCTGCAATTATATCTAATGATTACCTTTATTCCTAAAGCCAGTAAAAGATTTTCTCATTTTTCTTAGGATGAAGATTAGAGCTTTAATGTG